GAGAAAAAAGCAGAAAGGAGCAGAACATGGACTCGACAAAAAAATAAAGGGGCAACCAAGCTAAATAAGGAAATCAGACCAACAAAGAAACATGCAAGAAAAATTTTTAAAAAACCTGCAGCAAAACGAAGCAAAAAACATCCAAAAATCAGGCAAAAATCCCGCAAGAAAGAAATCAAAGAACCTACAACAAATATCACATAAACCATAGAGATTCACTTGTGGCCAAATGGAATCAAAGAACCAGCCACAATAACCAAATCAAGGGAGAAGCAATTGGGGAGCAAAAGAAATGGAAGAGAAGAAGCACAGAACAAGAGAAACCAATGAAAGAGAGAGAAGGAAACGGCAGAATACTCCAGAAGACACAGAGACCAAGGGAGAGAGAGTAGGCAGAAAAAATCAACAATAAAAAGTCAAAGACAAAAACGCCCCTCGAATTAAGCCATACAATGAGAAAAAATTAAGGGTAAAGACGTAAAATAACATAACGGACACAATGGGTATTAAAAAGTTAAAGTCAAAGACAAAAATGCGCCTCGAATTAAGCCGGACAATGAGAAAAAATCAAGGGTAAAGACGTAAGAGAACATAACAGGACACAATGGGTATTAAAAAAGTTAAACATCAGGAAGTAGGGACAAAGCCGGGAATTCACTGTTCATTTACTGTACAATGAACAGTGAATCCCGTCTCTCTTTTAGTATATAGTAATAATAATGTCAGTGCTGAGAAACTAGATAGATTATTTATCATGTGGACCACACTTTCGGTTTTGTTTTCATATCTGATATAAATGTCTGTATTCGGATTTAGTCTATGACTCGGTCTCTATACTTTGGATTCAGGTGGAGGCAAATCTAATAGAATAGTACTATAATTGGGGCATTTTGAAACAAATTTTCTTAATCTAGCTAATTAGCTTCAAGATTCATGGGTGTCATACAAAGTGGGCAATGCTTTTTATTCTTTATATAATTAGGGCAAATGATGTTGGATGTCTTCTCTTCTTGACCTTTCCTATGAAGTCAATCAATTGACAGCTGTCCGGCGATCAAAAGTAATTAGTACTATTAATTAAACCAAGTGTTACTTTCGTACATGAATTTTTCTTTCTAGAAATTACTCGCCAAACTCTCTTTTTTTTTTCTTTTAACAATTTTGAACCAAAATACCGACTAAAAAAAGTTTAGAAACCAAAATGATATAATATTGATAGTCCAAAGACTAATAATAGTACTCATAATCTCTATATGTAACTTAGAAAAATGCCGCTTAAAAAATGTAATCTTTAGATTTAATTTATGATATAAATTTAACATTTTTACTACTCAATTCATTAGAAAATATTTTGATGGGATATTAAAAAGTATCTTGTCAGATTATTTTTTTCTTCTTTACAAAGTTGAACGCATATTTTCGACTCAAGTTTTCAGAGAGTATTCTAATAGATATTAAAATTAATAAAAATAACGAGAGACTAGATATAAATGTAAAGCTATTAGATTTTAGTGGCGTACTACCTAATTTTCTCTACTATTTAACTATTGATGGTTTGACTTGAAGAGTAGCTAATAATTTTGCTATAAATAGACACCCAGCACAAGGGAATTCCTTGCTTCTTTGTAGTGTTCTCAATATTCACTATGGACACAGGAGTGAAGATGGTTGCTTTGATGTTTAGTATGCTGATCATTTTTGTTTCCAATGTGTCAGCCTTGATCAATGCTTGCCCAAAATGTGGCAGTGTTGAAGTTCCTTACCCCTTTAGCACTGATGGAAACTGTGGGGACCCCAGATACAAAATCTATTGCAACAATACCACCAACACCCTTGAGTTTCCCTCAGCTGAAGGATTCCACTACAAAATCCTCAGCATTAATACAAGCACCAACAAGCTCATAATAAACCCACCAACATTGCAAGAAACCACATCGTGTTACTCTTCTGATTTCCCACTTCAAGGCTTGAGGCTTGATGACAGATCACCCTTTAACATATCCTCCCACAACACTGTCATGCTGCTGAATTGCTCCGACAACCTTCTCTGCTCGCCGCTGAATTGCTCGTCGAGCAGCCTTTGCCGGCAATTCGAGGATCAGATGGAGGAGGGAAGTGGGTGTAGAGGTACACTTTGTTGCCATTACTTGAAGGATTCAAGCATGAATTCACATTTTATAAGACTCAGGTATGGAGGGTGTACTGCTTATACTTCTGTGGTGGACGTGCAGCCTTCTGATCCTGTTGATAAGTGGAATTATGGCATTGAATTACAATGGTTGCCTCCTAATTACTGAGCTTGTCATGTTCAAAGTTTTTTTACAGTACGTTGGTTTTTTTTTTTTTGGTGGCTTGATTTGAACTTTGTACGATTTACCGTTAAGATAATGTCTACAACTCTAGTGTTTTTACAGTTTGAAATAAAAATTTGTAGCGAGTGCTTGCGTTGTGTGGGTTGATTAATGCATTTTATAAAGTGTCTTGTTTTACTTATGTCTTAGGTTTATTGTCAATTGTCATTGTTGTTTAGTTTGGACTTTTGTATATTTTGATTTGTTTATGAAAACTGAAATAAAAGGTGGTATGTGGCGTAAGTTTTCACTTCTTGAAAAAAAAAAAATAAATAATGAAAAAATTATCTTCATTTTCATCAATGGCAGCCTCATACTCTTAGTCTCCTACGCCAAACTCCCCAATAAACATAAAGCAATCAATTTCAGACCAAAGAAACCAAGACAACCCAACAACTTTCCATTACAAACAACTTCCTTCAACGAAGAATGAAAATAAAAGAAGAACAATATAAAATGGCATAAATTATTTTTTCCGACTGTGAGAGAGAGAGGAGAAGAGTAAAATTCAAAAGTCCAAAAACCCAAAAAAGGGCCTCCTCTTCTCGTCTCCTTCTGTATCATTCTGATAATAATTTCTCTCCTTTTTTCTCCTATTTGCTCATATCCCAAACGCTCCTTTATCTCTCCCTCTCTTAACCAATTGCTTACACACGCACACATTTATTTATATATTTTCTCTTTTCTTCCGGCCATCAATTATGTTTCCTTTCCAAATTGGAAAAAACCTTCTTCTTCTTCTTCTCTCTGTACTATTCACCAAATCCTAATTTCATCTCTCCAAAATCCTATGCAAGGTCGTGGATTCAAAGCCATTGCTAGAGAAGATGAAGGTCAGACTCGAACCGACACCGAGAAGAACTCGCGAGCATCCAAAACCGGCGTTGCTGAAGCAGTGAGCTCCGCGACTGTTTTCGGCGAGTGAAAGTGTACGAGGCGGCGGCAAGATTGGCCGGCGGGCTGGGCTGGGTTCGTGTGGGTGGCGGAGAGAACGGCGAAGACATTTTTTTTTAGGTTTTATTCTTAAGGGAGATTTTCTATTAGTTTATACTATAGTAGGTCAGGTTTTATATATTTTTTAATTTTTAGTATTGCTTAGCTATGAAAAGGTGTATATTTTAAATTTAAAAATAGTTTTTTAATGTTTAACTATTTTTTATATTTAATTAGAATTTAATGATTTTAATTAATTCTTAATACACAACACGTCAATACATCTTTAAATAAAATTGTAGACAGACTTTAATGAAGGGGGTATTGTGAATCATTTTTTTTTATATATGATGAGATATTTTGAATTGTTTTATAAAATTAAAAGGTGTTTTAAAATAGGATACATACTTTAAGAGTATTTATGAAAATAATCTAAAGATAAATGATACTAAAGAGGTAAAACCAAAATAATAAAACATATACATACATCATTTTATTATTTTTTTAAGACACGTGTCTAAATTAATGCCTTCACTTACAAATGAATATATAATCTCAAGATAGTTTTGCTTGAAATATAATCTCAAAATAGTTATATACGCAATTAACCCACACCAAATATCCTATAGTAGGTTAGAAACCTGTGTCATTTTATTGGTGTCGTCTATCATGTCTCTAATATACGTCAATTAAAATTTCATATTAAGTCAAATAAAAAGTCACGATGTTAATGTCTGACAACAAAAGGGACAAATATATATATATATATATATATATATGAACTTAATCCTAGTAAGGGAATTGGCCTTCGGCTTGTAAAGAGTACAGACCCAAAAGACTTCATCGATTATCAAACGTCTTTAGGCAATGCTGTAGTGTTCTATACTTGACGTTTTTCGTTTATATGTAAACTATCTGCCTAAACAGCATCATGTCGTTTATTTGCAGCGAGGAACGACATGTAGCTTATGTGATTTGGGAAATTAATACATGACAATAAGAGGCGACAGTTTGCCGTTTCAAGGACATATACTACTCTAATTATATACCGTACACAAATGGGTATGCATAATAGGTTTGCATATTTTCTTTCTGTTTAAGCTGCTGGAAATCAAAATTTGAGACCTCAATATTCAATATTTATATTAATCCCTATCCAACAATTATTTCTTTCTTCCCTTGTAATAAATACTTTTCTAGGGTCTTTAGAAAAAAAGGAAAATAATTGTTTGGGGCACGCGCCGATTTAACTCGAAATTGTACTGAGCCACCTTGTTTCAATTGGATTAAAACACAAATTTTCAAGTAATCTACCATTTATTTAACAAAGAACTTTTGAGAAGACACTCTTGGCACTTTAATGTAACAAAATCTCGTTCGAGTTAAAAACTTGAATTAAAAAATAAATTTATGTGAAAAAAAATACTGTAACAAAAAAAATTTTAATTTTAATTTTTATGAGAAAAAATACTATAATAAAAGTTTAAATTATGATTCAAACTATCGAATCAAGCCTAAAAAAGTAAGTTTTTATCAAGCATGATAACGAGGAGCAACGGTACAAAAGAAACTAGATATATATTAGCTTTTACTTCTATTTCATCACTTTCAATTGAAATAACTGTTACAATCATTAATTGAACACAATCATAAGAATCAGGGGAACAAAAAAGGAGACAAATAAATTGCCATAAAGTAAATATAATATACAATTAACACCAATACATGAACAACAATAACAAGGAAAATGGGCCCCAGGTTAGCTGGGTCTGGTCGACAACTTCAAAACCTTGCCCACAAGTATCCCCAGTCTAATGTATAATTCAGTTGTTCCAACAAGGTGATAAAATTCCGTGCAAAATATAAGGGGTTAGCAAGTAAATATAGAAAATAGCTACTGTATCAAAAACATATCACTATTAAATCTTCAAATTACTTACAAATACAAGCTGTTAGCAATCAAACCATCATAAAGACATCTATCAGTATCAGACAGCACTTCTTGTTCTCCGTCAGTCAGTCCAACAGCTGAGCACAAACCAGAATCCACACAAACTCTTTAACAAGTGCAAAATAGACACTGGCCCTTTGTATGCATGTATCTCGACATCTCATTTCTTACAAACATCTATAATAATCACCACCTTGGAAAGAAAAAAACTACCATCTAAGTATGCTCACACTGCCAGAGAAAAAATATACTATGC